TACAGGTTCTTGAGACAGGAACCTTTGCTTTAACCTCACGACATAGCTTGCTAATAAATCATATGACCATTTACCAGAATCAAATGACGAGATGCATACAGGAATACATGTATATGACAGTTCACGAATTTGTATGCATTAGAAAAAGAAGTGTATGATTCTTACGCTTAATATTGGTGAAATATCTGATAGGAAGAAAATGCCGATGGCTCACGGAACCAGCCATGCAACGAAGGAAATCTAAGTTTTGTTCGCCTTGCGTTTGTGGATGTGGACAGCCGTGCAGATTGTAATGCATCAAAACAGCGCAGTTCCTCGGTTCAACATTAAAATTATGTGTTCTACATGTTCATCTATCTGATTCAAATACAACTGAATGCTTTCACAATATTACTCCTTTCTTTTCTTAAAAGACAATTTTCAGGTTGGCCAAAATGTCATACTTCTGCCCTTTATGACGAATAGGTCTACTTCATATAGCAGCATCGTCTTTTTGTTGTGCTGTAGGATACAAAACATGCATATATACAGAGCAGTATTTCATGTTGAATGTACATTTCATTAGTACAGCGGTAGCCTGTCCTCTGTCTTGACCCATGATATTTATTTCAAAACAAGACTCCCTAAAATGCCTTAGGTGGGGTTATAGGTACTTGTAAGATTGCTAAGTATAAAAAATTCGGCCACACTTACACTACGTCGTTAGATCTAAATCACGACCAGTTCAACAGCTATAGTTTTTATGTCAACTATCTGGATGTATTAGCTTATATCTCCACTAATCAGTTGGTTTACCTGCGGGTGGATGCACAGTTGCCCTGGGACGATGCAAAAAGCGTATTTACATTTTAACATTTAAATCTTAGCATTTACATTTAAACCTGCTGTGCTTTTTACTATTTGTAAGGTTTTGTAAGGTTTTGTTCCTTACCGGCGAAAAAGCTAGTAGAACCATAACAATGACGACAAACAGACATTACAATATTAGCTATATGATCCAGGTTGCTGTGTGACATAGAAAGCAGATCAGACCGAGCTGCCCAGGTAGTGTCATCACAGTACTACATTTCCTGTCTTTACGACTCCTCTGGGTAGCTCCCGCCGTTATCGTCTCAATTTTCCGGCGATACGGCAGGTCGGGGCGCCGCCGTGACCCCGACCACGACCTGGGGAGGGCCGTGACAAGCGCCCCGCCGGGGCCCCCCGTCCCTCCTCTACATCAATAACCGGCTGGCGTGACAAACGGGCTCTTCCTCCGCACAACATCCAAACGGACGTGTAATACAGATGGATGCCCTGACTCCTGTCACCGCCGGGCCGATCCGTCTGTCCTAATCGTTTTCCGATAATCATACCCTGCGCGAGAGGGCCGCGATCCAATCGTACGAGATGTCTTCGGCGGGAAGATACAGCGCACTTGTTCCCCTGCCATGATGGATTCTGCTGACGGACGTTAACCGAGCGGCCAAACGGCGCTTATCTTAATGCCCATCGCGGGCCGTGGAAAGAGATGGAAGATATATGTGACACAAAGGGAGCATTCACTGCGCCTTTTGCAACGGATCCCCTCGATTAAATGAACAATATATGACTGCCATCAATTCTGCTGCTCACAGAAAACATGTTAGCTGACGTTCAGCTGCTAGCGCTCACGGGAGTTCAGCTGACTCGACGGGTGAAACTGTATTTCAGTTTTCTCGTAACACGTCCAATATAGCATACTTCTGAACATGGTGTTCATTGAAATCCGCTTAAGACAACAATTGAACGTTGACCAGCTTGTATTGTTAAAGCTGATGGATTATGAAGCATCTTGAACTGTGTCAAATGCAAATATGCCAACAGAATCCTCACTACGCATGGAATCACCGAAGGCTCAATTATGTAGATATGCAGACACTTCAAATTCACCACGTAAAATATCAACTTGCCTACTTGTACGGCTACGGTCGGACTAACTCTTCAACGTATCAAATATAGGACAAAAAAGTTACCATCACTTAGTGTATTGCATCAGTTTTTACAGAGAATGGGGTCTCGTTAAACTTAATGACTCTGCATAATCCTCTTAAAGCATATTTGATGCAAATGATTTGGAACGTGCATGCACCAGTAATGTTGGATTTATGCGTGCCGCTGTCCTTCCCCCGTCCCGCCGACCATACATTTCACCGTTGTCGATACGAGCGATCGCAACATATGGAATTTCCCTCGTTCATTCTGACTTTCATGGCGGCGCTCACGCTATCTCCTCTTTCAACCTGGTTTTTATCCTTTATTAACGATGATTCATAAACGGTGGTTTAAATCATTTGGGAAATGAAAAGAACTTATCCCTGTCGCCTCGGCGATACGCGATCGCAGACAAGGACCAGGACACCTCACAATATTTGGAACATAAATTATCCAACTTTCTGTCTCATCCCTGTCGCTTCTTCTCTTCTTTTTTTATCTGGTCGTATATACTGGTACGTGATATAACACCCGTAATTAATTACACACAGTAAATGACGGGGTTTAATCGAATTACATATCAACAATGAAACAATGGGTGTTGTATATAAGTACCCTACTTAAATGCTAATTCATGTGGAGGTCCCTGATTTTTTTAAGCGGAATAAACTCCACGGATCAAACCAACATCCTTTTGGGTGATAACCTGTAATACCTGTAACGGCCATGCCCTATTGACTTTATTGTTTATTGTGACCAATGCCATGACATCGAGAAAAATATGCAGTTGAGTGATGGTGCTTGTATGTAGAATTAGCAACAGAGCAGAAGGTCATTTCGGCCATCATATATGATCTCGATCTGTGCTAGTATCATGATATGGTCGGTCATTTGTAAAGAATCCTTAATTTTGTGATCAATGTTGATTTTACTCTCTCTCACTCACTCACTCACTCACTCACTCACTCACTCACTCACTCACTCACTCACTCACTCACTCACTCACTCACTCACTCACTCACTCACTCACTCTCTGACTCCCGTTTTGCTTTCTGCTAACAGAATCTCGATTTATGTAGACTGAAATAACCTTATAGGCTTACCTCCACTGTGGCACATCTGACATGGGGTATAATCAAGCAGCTAAACAGGTTTTTGTCCCTGCAACTTACCCTGATTTTTTTTACAGGCGAATTTTCCTGCTGTGAATTTAGGCATTGTCGTGTTACAGAAGGTGTCTGAAGTTATCAATCCGGGATGACTTTCAGGTTTTGAGTCGACTTTATGTCTTATGTTGGCCGAT